TGGCACAGACTAGATGATGACCTGTTGTACGTGCAAGTGCAGACTTTCAGGTGTCTGTACCATCGAGATGTGGGACCAAACAAACCCAGGTACTCAGGCTGAACAAGTACCTTTAGCCACTGAGCAATCACTCCAGGCCAAGATGTTTCGGTTAGCAGAATGTCCCTGACTGACATAGCAAGGAACCTTATTTCAATGGGTCAAAATAGGCTTTCCTGGCACATGCGTGTGGTACACATGAACCCATGAACCTAAGGGGCACGGGCATGCATGCCCAACATGCACGTGTGCACACACATACATACTACATACATACACCATAAGAAATAAATTGTTGGGAGCTGAACAGTTGGCTCAATGGTTGAGAGTGCTTGTTGCTCTTGTAGAGGACCTGGGTTCAATTCCCAGCACCCACAAGGTAGCTCACAAGCATGTTAACTCCAGGTCCAGGAGATCAAACACCCTCTTCTGACCTCAGCAGGCATCATGGTGCATATAAATGAAGACAAAACAATCATATACATAAAGTAATGACATAACTTAAAAATAAATAGTTATTTCACTCCATTTCTTGGGAAACAGGCAGGTCTATGGCAGCCTGGTTTATACAGCAAGTTACAGGACAGCCAGGACTATGAAGTAAGACCCTGTCTCAGAAAAAAAATACAAATAAAAAGATGGGTCAAGAAAGCATTAGTGCTGGGCCATGTAGGTGGATATCTACACACATAAAATAGGGAAGGGGCCCACAGATCCGAGTTAAGCTACTCTGGTCTACCCAGGGAGAAAAAAAAGGGAGAGAAAGAAGGCATTAATGGGCTGGGGAGCCAGTTCAGTCTCAGAGAACCTTCCTAGCATGCATGAGGTTCAACCCCAGCACCCAAAAATAAACGCAAGATATTACTAAGTAATCATCTCCAAAGTGTAGCTTGTTTACACATCTCTCAGAAAGAGGATCTAGGGCCTACCAGTACACTCCCTCCTCACTAAATGAGTTCCTATTTATTAAGAGGGTGGAGATGCCCTATACAAGTTTTTATACCAGAGAAAATGCACCCTAAAATCACTTACAAAGAATAATGAAATTGGCTAAGGTTATGGACCAGTGGTACAATATATGTTTGGCCCAGCACTCAAAAAAATAAAAATAAAAATTGACACAGGATTGGAAAACTGTATCAGGGGTTAAGAGCATTGACTGCTCTTGCAAGGGACTCAGGAATCCAAGCAACCATGTAGTGGCTCACAACTCAAGTCCCAGAGAATTGGAAGTTTCCTTAGGCACCAACCCAGCATGGTACATAGACATATATACGGGCAAAACACCTATACATATAAAATTAAGTAAATTTAAATGTCTTTATTTAAAAGAAATAATTTAATATAACCCCTAATAACCAGCCAGGCGTTAGTGGCACACGCCTTTAATCCCAGCACTCAAGAGTCAGAGACTCTATGAGTTCAAGGCCAACCTGATCTACAGAGTGAGTGCCATGATAAGCTCCAAAGCAATACAGAGAACCTCTGTCTCAAAAAACCAAAACCTAAGCCAGACAGTGGTGACGCAAGCATTTAACCCCAGCACTCAGGAAGCAGAGGCAGACAGATCCCTGTTGAGTTTGACACCAGCCTGGTCTACAAGAGCTAGTTCCAAAGCAGCCTCCAAAGTCACAGAGAAACCCTGCCTCAAAAAACAAAAACAAAACAAAACTGAACTATAAGCTCCAGGTTTCACAACAGCCTACGCAATGAGACCATTTTGAAACACCAAAGAGAGATGCTTAGTGGGTTAAAAGCACTTGATACACTTACAAAGGACCAGGGTTCAAACCCCAGTATCTACATGGCAGCTCACCATTGGTAACTACAGTTTCAAGGAACCCAATGCCCTCTTCCAGTCTCACACCCTCTTCAGGCCTCTAAAGACATCAGGCACAGATGTGGTGATACACATGCAGGCAAAATACCCATACATATAAATTTGAGGGGCTGGAGAGGTGGCTTGGTGATTGATTACTAACTGACTGTTCCTACAGAGCACTCAGGTTTGATTCACAATAAACCCCATGTTGGCTCACAAACATTTGACTGTTGCTTTGTTTTGTTTTGTTTTGTTTATGTTTATGGAGACAGGATACAGGGTTTCTCTGTTTAGCTTCGACTGTCCTGGAACTCACACATAAAATAATCTTTACAAAGAAAAAGACAATCTTTCAGGACAGGCTCCAAAGCAACCAAGAGAAACTGTCTCGAAAAACCAAAACCTAAGCCGAGTGAGCGGTGGTGGCGCACACCTTTAGTCCCAGCACTCGGGAGGCAGAGGCAGGTGGATCCCTTTGAGTTTGAGGCCCCACCTGGTCTACAGAGAGTTCCAGTAAAGGCTCCAAAGCAATACAGAGAAACCCTGTCTCGAAATACAAAAAAAAAAAAAAAGACAATTTTATTGATTATATGCTCGTTTGTGTTTTGAAGATCTCTCTAGTTAAGGGATGTTTTCTGATAGAAACTGCCTACAATTATAGCCTCCCGCCTAGTCCACAATTCCTAACTACAAAATGTACTTTTTCTTTTCTTTTTTTTTTTTTTTGGTTTTTCGAGACAGGGTTTCTCTGTGGCTTTGGAGGCTGTCCTGGAACTCTCTCTGTAGACCAGGCTGGCCTCGAACTCACAGAGATCCGCCTGCCTCTGCCTCCCGAGTGCTGGGATTAAAGGCGTGCGCCACCAACGCCCGGCCAAAATGTACTTCTTATAAGCCAGAAGCTAGCATGTGCCTTTCTGTTTTTTTAATGTTGATTGGACAATTAAGTCTTTTCTATCAACATATAAAATACCCTATAATTTAGGATCACAGGCAGTTTAGATTACTGCTCATTTAAATTCAGAACCTGAAGCAATCTCCAGTGACACAGGAGCTACAGTGTCAATATCATTTTACAGAGGCTTCAACTTACAATGAACCCTTAGGGTTCATCATCCCACAGGCTATTATTTCTTTAGGGGTTTTACAAGAAGCAATAGAAGCACTAAATCCAAAAGAGCCTTTCTAACAACGATCAAGATTTTTTTAATGTATGTCCATGCACCAGGTGGATTTGCAGTGCTCACAGAGGCCAGAAGAGGGCGACTAAACCCCTGGGACTGAAGCTTCAGTTCATTGCTGGATGCTGGGAATCTATTCCAGGCCCCCTGGAGGAGCAGCAACGTGTTCTTTTTTGGTTTTTCGAGACAGGTTTCTCTGTAGCTTTGAAGTCTGTCCTGGCACTCACTCTGTAGACCAGGCTGGCCTTGAACTCAGAGATCTGCCTGCCTCTGCCTCCTGAGTGCTGGGATTGAAGGCGTGCGCCACCAAAACGTTCTTAACCACTGAGCCATCTCTCTCCAACTCCTCCATATTTTAAGGGAGGAAAAAAAAAAGAAAACACTATTCCCACCCCATTTTTCCCTGTTCCTGCTTTCAGTATATACCATCTAGCTGGCCTTTAGTCCCCAAACCAAACACACCATGAAATGCCAGCAGTCATTGCATCAGAGAGGGTTTGAGTTAAGAGATTCCTTTTACAGTGCTTTTATGTCTCTTCAGTTGGGTGTCATATGGAAAAACCTATCCTGAATAAACGGATAGCCATTAGATTTTTTTTTTAAAGCACAAACGGCTGATCGTTTGCATTGCCATTTCCACAGCATATTTACTGAAGATATGGAATCCACACTCCCCTGACTCTAGCATCTCGTCTATGCAACAACCTGCAGAAACAAATAATGAGCAGATCTGCCAGCTGATCTGAGGGCTGGCGTTTCAATCTCAGGCCACGGCAAGCCTGATACAGGAGCTCTCATCTAAGTCCACTTGGCCCTGCAGCAGACAAGGGACTCGCCTTCCTGGTTTTTACCGCACAAGTTTAATTACAAAAACAAGTTGGTTTTGAAGCGCTACTCAGAAACTGCAAAAAAGGAAGTCTTCGCATTTGGGGGTGGGGAGGTGTTACTCGACTTCAAGACAGTCTCCAACCTTCCATGTCATACAGTATGGAGTCCTGGGCTCCTGCTCCGTGGGCCTGAGATGTTCTGGCCTCACCCAGCTGCTTCACTGGTTAACTTTTCCATCTGGGCACCCTCAAACTGCCTACAAAGTAGCACTGCCTCTCTCACACTTCTCTCACAGGCTGCGAGGCTCGGTTCATTTAAACTAGTGCAAACAGAATCAATGGACGAATCAAGACTGCGAATTTCGGAAGGTGAAAGTATTCGCGGTAATAGGTGATACCAGAAGGCAGAGCCAGTATCCAAGCCGCACAGAGGGCAGACCCCACACTCATTCCCGTATCCACGCTACACACACTCCCAACTCCTCATCCGCAAAGCATCCACCCTATACGCATCTCGGACCCCGCATCCAGCCCGTACTCGCCCCACACAGACCGCAGACCCTGTACTCGTCCCTCACACCTCCACTCACCCCGCACACACCACCACACACCTCCAACACCGCACTCGTCCTACACGCCCTGCATCCATCCTGCAGACCCCACACTCAACCCTGCCAGCATTCACTCCACGCACCTCGTAGACTACGGATCCTCACCACGCACCTGGCACATCGCGCAGACCTCACATCCATCCCACATACCACAGACCCTGCTCTCACCATGCACACACCCCGCACTCACCCCGCGCGCACCGCAGACTCCGCGTCCGCCGCGCCCGCTCGCAGCGGAGCGGCAGCCTCTGCGCGAAAGAACCCAAGTCTGCCCCGCCGGGCGGCGCCGGCGGGAAGAGGAGGCTGAGCTGCGCTTCTCCGACCCGGGACTCGGCGCGGGGAGCTCAAGCAGCAGAGGCCGCAGCCGAGAACTCCTCGCGACCCTGAGCGGGCCCCGGAGCTTAGCGCCGCCCGCCCGATCCCTGTCGCCTGCGCCGCGCGTTGCCGGCGACCCCGAGACCCCCGCCCGGGGCCATGCCGCCGGCCTTGCCCGCCCCCCGCCGCCGCCTTTCTCTCAACTCACCGCTCGCCGCCATCTTCCCCAGCACGGCTCTCGATCGGAAACTCGCAGCTCAGCCCCGGCCGCCGACACCGACTTCGCCGAGGCCGCCGCCGGCGATCTGAGGAGCTGAAGCGGCTGCCGCTGAAGCCGCGGCGCCGAGGCCGCCGGGATTTGTAGTCCTGCGGCCACGCCCAGCACTACGGGTCCCAGGGGGCCGTGCGCGCGATAAGGGGCGTGGCCAGGCGATCTGGGTGCCTCAGGCCCTCCCAGGACCTGGAGCGTGTGTCCTGCGTTGGTTTTCCCGTGTGCTCATCTCTATCCTGGAATTCCTGACATCTATGGAGTGTTCATTGTGTGCCAAGCACCGGTCCTCAAGATTAGCAGCTGAGGGGGCGTCGTCCGTACTTTTCAGACGCCCTGCTATGTCACTGACCGAACGGGTTTTGGGTCTCAAAGTGTTCAGTCCGGAGGTGTGGTCTCTCACATAATTTACACCAGAGAACAGTTTGCATTAAAGTGGGAAGAACTGGGAGACACTGCCTTAACCAAGGGCGGCTTGAACTTAGTGTCACCAGGAGTGGCTTAAACTGTTACCACATGTGCGGGGCAAAGCAGAGGCTACCTGGGTAGTATTTGTGCAAAAACAAAAAATAACAGAAGAAAAGAAGACAAACCCAGAAAGTGCAGCATTCAACAGAACCAGCCTATGCACTAAGATAGTAAATCATAATAAGTGCAGTCAAACCTAGTGACCCATGCCTGGGCAGGTGGAGGCAGGAGAAACAAAAAATCAAGATCAATTTAATGGGTTTAAAGCCAGGCTGGACTAATAAGAAAAGAAAAAGGTATCTGACCAAAATAAATAACTTAAAGTCAAATGCAATAAATAATAGTCTTCATTTTTCCTTTCCTTCTTTTCTTCCTTTCTTTCCTTTCTTCCGTTCTTTCCTTCCTTCCTTTCCTTTTTTTCCAAGACAGTTTCTCTGTGCAGGCCCTGCTGTCCTGGAACATGCTCTGTAGACCAGGCTAGCCTCCAACTCAGAGACACACCTGCCTTAAAGGCTTAGACCACTATATCTGGCTTGTGGATAGTTTGTATGGAAAAAACTAGACTTTCTTTTTTTTTTTTTTTTTTTTTTTGGTTTTTTCGAGACAGGGTTTCTCTGTGGCTTTTGGAGGCTGTCCTGGAACTCACTTGGTAGTCCAGGCTGGTCTCGAACTCACAGAGATCCACCTGCCTCTGCCTCCCGAGTGCTGGGATTAAAGGCGTGTGCCACCACCGCCCGGCTCAATAATAATAATAATTTTAAATATAATAAAAGTACATTAAGAAGAAGAATTATTGATTCAAGTGCAGAATACATACTGAAGACATATACCTACTCAGACATACACACATATATATGTTCAGAGAATAACTGATGAATGGGGAAAACTACATATTCAAGGACGTCAGAAAAAGACCCAGAAAGAACACAGACATGCTACTTCGGTTGGGATGTGTAGGTGGTCCTGGCAGGTACTCACTCTAGTCACAGCTGAAACCAGCTGAGTGATACACTCAGCTAGATAATCAGCAAAGATGCTGGCCCTTCATCCTTCGCTCTCTGTTTGCTTGAAGGAGTTGACTTACGTCCTCGTCTTTGAAATAGGGTTGATTCTAAGACGGTTCCTCTAAGGAATGTGCTGAAGCCCTCAAGCCTAGGGCTTAAGATGGCTGACCGCTAGCTTCCACTTCCTCCTTCCTGGCTCTAACTTCCCCACTATGAGAATCCACAAAGAGGGAATTGAAGCACTCCACCTTACAAGGATCAACAAGATTAGCAGCAGAGCCAGGTCTGGTAGGACACACTTGTAATCCTTGCATTTAGGAGGTAAAGGGAAGATCAAGAGTTCAAGGTTATCCTCTGCTACATCTTAAAGTCCAGGCAAGTCTGCGCATGGTGCCCTGGAATCTCAGGACTCAGGAGGCCGAGGCAGCAGGACAGTCAGGCTAGGCATGCCAGGGCTACACAGTAGGACCATACTGGAAGAAAGTCAGGCTAGGCATGCCAGGGCTACACAGTAGGACCTTACTGAAAGAAAGGAAGAGAGGGAAGGAGGGACAGAGAGAGGGAAGAAAATTAGTTCAAATTCCAAAAAGGAATGTGTTGTACTGGTCGCATTCCATGTTGTATATATAAAGACTGGACCGAGGGCATTGGTGACACACACCTTTAATCCCAGCACTTGGGAGGCAGAGGCAGGGGGAATCTCTATGAGTTCAAGGCCAGCCTGGTCTACAAAGCGAGTCCAGGAAAGCCTCCAAAACAATACAGAGAAACCCTGTCTCAAAAAACCAAAAAAAAAAAAAAAAAAAAAAAAAAGACTGGGCCACCAGAGAGGTTTTAAAAACCTAAGGGGCTAAGGGTACCACTTTTCCATTACTTGACTAAGATGAAGTAGAAAAAGCTAACAGAAGGCCAGCAAATAGTTCCTCGGATTAAGGCACTTGTCGCCTAACCTGAAGACCTGAGTTCCCAGGGTGGAAGGAGAGAACCAACTCTTGAAAGCCTTCCTCTGACCTGCACACGTGCGCCACGGCATGCTCCATAAAATAAATGTAATAATAATTTCTTAGAAGCTGCCGCCATTATACTCTCAAATGTCTCAAGGAGAAAAACACAGGAGGGCAGCCGGGGGCAAATGTAGCAGTGTGATTTATCAGTAGATTTCAATTTAGAAGACTATGCCAGCTAGCTTTCTGAGAAGAGGGAATCTCAACTGAGACAATACCTCCCTCATATTAACCTAGAGATGGTCGATTCCGAAGGTTCAAGCCCTCTAGGGATGGTGCCACCCCAAACAAGTGGTTCTGATGTACAAGAAACCAGGCTGAGCAAGCCAGCAAGCAGCATTGCTCCAGGGTCTCTGCTGTAGTCCCTGCCTTGGCATTCTTCAATGATCAACCGTAAGATGAAATGAACCCTTTTGGTCATGGTGTTTAGTACAGCAATGGAGAGCAAACTACAGACCTGCATGCAGTTCTCTGTTGTGCTTAGTTTGGTCTTGCTTTGGGTGCTAGGATTGAACTGGGGCCTTATGCAGGCTAAGTACTCACTCTAGAACTGAGCTGTACCCTTGACCCACACTTCTCATAGACTTAAGTTTCCTGTAGACTCAAACATTTCCAAAACTAGGAAGATTGGGCGCTGCAGGACTCATGTCAGGAAGGGAGGGTAGTACACCCAGAACTCATAAAGCACTTACCTGTTTCAAGTACTTTGGAAGGGATTATTTTGTTGTTGTCCATTCTGTGAGGGTTTTGTTTTGTTTCAAGTACTTTGGGAGGGATTATTTTGTTGTTGTCCATTTTGTGAGGGTTTTGTTTTGTTTTTGTTGAGACAGGGACTTGTGCCGGGTCCTCCTGGGATCCAAAGGATAGCAGCATACCCGGCTTTTCAGGTATTTTTTGTAGTTTTTCAACACCACCCGTCCGTCCCCCTCCCCCATTCATTTAATCATTGCAAGAATATGCTCATGTGCGTTCATTTCCTCCCCATTCCAGAGATGAGTGAATGGAGGCTTTGTACAAGTCAGTCACTGACCGAGGATATAAACCCGGCCACGGCTCAGGTTCTTCCACTTGGCCCTACTCTCTCTTCACCAGTGCACAAGCAACTAAAATGTTTACCAGTCTTCTGGAACATTCCTGGAAGTAGCTCAGTTCTTGGCCTTTTGACTAAGATAAAAGAGTAGCGACAGGAGCTGGAGAGATGGCTCACATTTAAGAGCATTTGTTCTCGAAGAGGAACCAAGCTTGGTTCCCAGCACCCAAGTGGCCCAGTTCCAGATCTGACCCCGCTCCTCTGATCCCCACTGGTACCAGGCACACATGAGGTACACTCACACATAGAATAAAAGAAATCTTTTTTTAAAAAATCTGAGCCAGCCGGGCGTTGATGGCGCACACCTTTAATCCCAGCACTCGGGAGGCAGAGGCAGGCGGATCTCTAAATTCAAGACCAGCCTGGACTACCAAGCGAGTTCCAGGACAGCCTCCAAAGCCACAGAGAAACCCTGTCTCGAAAAACCAAAATAAATAAATAATCTGAGCCAGGCAGTGGTGGCGCTGGCCTTTAATCCCAGCACTTGGGAGGCACAAGGATGCTCAGGGCACTGCCTCCCAACACAGCACATTGGTGCTCTGACCGCAGCCTCATAGTCCTCAGGGGGCTGTCACAGCTAAAGCAGCTTATGGGCTCACAACTGAGGCCCAAATGCCGTCAGCCTTGGATCGGTAAGTGTCAGGAAGGGTATTATACCCACAAGCACTCTTTTTCTCTCGGTATTCCACTTTCCCTAGCCTAATCAAATGCCATCCCCCCAAATCTCCTTATAGTGGGGGTCTGGGTCACATGGCCGTCTCTGGATGCAATGCCATGTGGGAGTGCAGTGACCGGGTGAGTGGAAGCCTCCTGGTTGTGTGGTCTGCCCAGGGGCTCTGCTTCCTTTCTTTGATGATCACCGAGTCTCACATTTTAACACAGGCTGTCCAGGAATTCACTATGTAATGCAGACTGAACAGAAACCCAGAGCGTTCCTCTTGGCTCTCCTTACCAGTGCTAGACGTGTAGGTGAGCCTCCATGCCTGGCTCCCAATAGGTGCTTCTGTCTCACTCCTTTCCCTGTGTCCTGAATTCATCCTCTTTCACTGTGTTCCTAGGGACTCAGAGTAGAGGCTGTGGGGCTGGGAGTATTGCCCAGTGGTGAGGGCATTTGCCTCACCACAAAGCCATGGATGGACTTGATCACCAGCACTGAAGGGAAGAGAAAAAAAACAAACAACAAAAATGCAGTGCTAGCCGGGAGGTGGTGACACATGCCCTTAATTTCCTGCACAGGCAGGCTGATCGAGTTCTAGGACAGCCAAGACTGTTACACAGAGAAAACCTGGGGGGTGGGGGTGCGCGGGCGGGAAGCAGTGCTAGATGGCTGAGGCAGGAAGATCACAAATTCAAAACCAGCCCCTGCAACTCAGTAAAATTCTTTCTCAATTACAAAAAAAAGTGGGGGTTAGGGGTGAAGTTAGGTGAGGCTGCAGCATGGAGTCCTAAATTCAGTTCTCAGTGCCATTAATTAAATAAATGAATAAACAAATAATGGGTTTTTAGCACTTAATCATTTCAACAGGCTAAGCCTGTTCTGCTACTTTCAGAGCTGTGCGATAATGGCTGATTTCTTGAACTTTCTATGCCTCACCTGAGAACACAGTAGCAGCAACAGCTGACGAAATGGTTCAATGCAAACCTAAGAACCGCATCAAACCAAGTGTGCGCTGACCAAGTTAGCTACAATTACACGTGCCAGTTCCGGGCTTGGGGCTAGCAGGGGTTACCAACAAGAGGGAGTAACAGTTTCCCCCGTTTTCCTCCCATCTTGCCTCATGGCAGTAATTACAATCTGAAGTTTTCCTGCAAATGAAAATAAAATGACTTGGGTCTCAGCACTGCGCATGCCTAAAACCCTGCTTGTTAAGACCAGATCTGAAAGTGAGCTGGCACCAGCCCACCTCACCCCAAGCTGTTGTCTGAACTGCTTCACACCCATGCAGGGATCCGGATTTAGAAGGAGAGAGACAGGGACAGACAGATGAAATCTAGGCCTGTGGAGACTCCCATGAGTTTGGTTTAAAGTGGGGGAAACACCTCTGAGGCGACTTAGCGCTTCCGCACCCGTTGTAAAGAGCAGTCTGAGCGCCTCCACCCAGGCTGGCTGCTCACGTCTTTGAAATCAGCTCTGGTGACCTGTGATTCTTTTTTTTTTTTTTTTCCTCTGTGCCATGGATGGCCTGGCAGCCAATTGCTCCTGGCCCCGGAGCTGTCTGCAGCCGACTTGCCCTGCCTGTGACCTGCAAGTGTCTCTCCCTGGCTGGATGGATTGGAAAGCCCACAACTTACTTCTGGTTAGTTGTTTTTCTCTCCTAAAACTTTGTTTTCTTGTTGTTGGTTCAGCTTTTTTGTTGTTGTTTGTTTTAAGACAGTAGTCCAGGCTGTCCTAGAATTTTCTACATCGCTGAAAATTACCTTGAATTCCTAATTATCCTACATCAATCTTCCAAGTGCTGGGATTACAGGTATATGCCATCATGCCTGTTTTTTGGTTTTGTTTTGTTTTTGTTTTTTTGTTTTTGTTTTTTGGTTTTTCGAGACAGGGTTTCTCTGTATTGTTTTGGAGGCTGTCCTGGAACTTGCTCTGTAGACTAGGCTAGCCTTGAACTCACAAGAGATCCGCCTGCCTCTGCTTCCCGAGTGCTGGAACTAAAGGCGTGCACCACCAATGCCGGCTTTGTTTTGTTTTTAAATGAGACAGGTTTTCTCTCTGTAGCCAAACTGAACTGGAACTTACTACTATATAACCCAATCTGGCCTCAAAACTCAAGGCAATTCTCTTGCCTGTTTATCAAGTGCTGAGATTACAGAAATGAACCAATTCACTCAGCTTTCCTGAATTATATTAAATGTATTTGCAGAGAGGGAAAATCACTTTCTATGAAATGGGCTTTTGTTTATTTGGTTGGTTTGGCTTTTTGGTTTTTCAAGACAGGGTTTCTCTGTAACAGCTCTAAGAGCTGCCCTGAAACTCTTTTTTAGACCAGGCTATCATCTAACTCAGGGATTTGCCTGCTTCTGCCTCCCAAGTACTAGGATTAAAGATGTGTACCACCACCACCACCACCACCACCACCACCACCACCACCACCACCACCACCACCACCACCACCACCACCACCACCACCCGGCTCTATGAAAGTACTTGTGATGATTAGGTGGTTGTTTTGTGTTTTTTTCTTTTTCTTTTTTTTTTTTGGTGTGTGTGTGTGTGTGTATTGTTTTGTTTTTTGAGACAGTGTCTCACTAGGTAGCTATGACTGACTGACTTGGGGCTCACCCCCACTCCCTATGAACTCTGAGCCAAAATAAATCATCTTTAAATCACTTTTGTGGAAGTATTTTATCACAGCAACAAGAAGAGAAACTAAAACAGCACCCACTGTAGGATGTCTCAGATGAAAAGCAAGTGTTAGCCAGGCTATGTTGACCCAAGCCTTTGATTCTAGCACTCAGGACACAGAGAGGGCAGGAGGAGCTCTGAGGAAAGGCCAGTCTAGCTCAATCAGTGAGCTTCTGGTTCAGTGAGAGACTGTCTCAAAAAATAAGGTGGAGAACCTGACGTGGTAACGCGTGCCTTTAATCCTACCACTGAAGAAGTAGACATAGGCGGGGTGGTGGTGGCACACATCTTTAATCCCAGCACTCCAGAGGCAGCGGTAGTCGGATTTTTGTGAGTTCAAGGCTGCCTGGTCTACAGAGTGAGTTCCAGGACAGGCTCCAAAGCTACAGAGTCTCAAAAAAAAAAAAAAGTCATGGGCAGATCTTTTAAATTCCAGACCAGCCTGGTTTACATAGTGAGACTGGCCAATTAGAGCTACATGGTGAGATCTTGTCTCAGAAACACAGGCCTTTGACCTTAGCACTCTGAAGGCTGAGCCAGATGACCCCAGAGTTTAAGGCCATCTTGGGCACCATGATGAGGTCAAGTCTAGCCTGTGCTACACAGTGAAGGAAAGATTAAAAGAAGAAACTGTTTCTTTTTTTTTAAAGTGTTTTTTTATTAATTTATTTCTTACATTCCAATCCAGTTCCCCCTCCCTCTTCTCCTCCTGCTCCCCCTACTTCCCCCTACCCTACCTCCCATCTGCTCCTCAGGGAAGGTAAGGCGAGAGAAGTCTACTAAGTCTGTCCCACCATCTCCTTGAGGCAGGACCAAGGCACCTCCCCACCCCTCATACACCTGGGTCTAGCTTAACAAGGTATCTCTCCATATAGAATGAAAAGAAACTGTTTCTTTTGGCTCACAGTTTCTGAGGCTTAGTCCTTGGTCTCTTGGCTGCCCTGCTTTGGTTCTGTGGTCAAGCAGGTCAAGACAGAAGCACAAAACGGAGCAGATGCCCCACCTCATGGCTACTGGAAAGCAGGAGGCGGGCTGAGGTCTCAGTTTCCCCTTCATAGGCGTGTCCTCAGTGACCTGGCCTCCTTCCCCTAGCCCCTACCTCCTAATGCTACTACATCACTTTCCAATAGCACCAGGAGCTGGGGACCCTTGAGGTCAACACTGTGATGGAAATCAGAAGCAAATTTTACAAAGGTATGTTATCCTGGAATTGCTTCTAAACCTAGGAAATTGCATAAGACTTAAGACCTTGTTCTCAGAGGTTCAAATCCTCTCCCTAATAGTACACTTAATTAATATTCTCATACTCCTAGTTCCAATTTTAATAGCTATAGCCTTCCTCACATTAGTAGAACTTGCTTTTAAACCAAGCATTTAAAAGGTAGGTAGAGCCAGGCGTTGGTGGCTCACGCCTTTAATCCCAGCACTCAGGAGGCAGAGGCAGGTGGATCCCTGTCAGTTCGAGGCCAGCCTGGTCTACAGAGTGAGTGCCAGGCCAGCTAGGGCTGTTACACAGAGAAACCCTGTCTCCAACAGAACAACAACAACAAAAAAGGACAGAATGGGATTTCTGCATCCTTCTGTCTCCAGGGATACCACAGGGACATCTTCCTGTCTTTTCAGATATACTCCATGTCTATACAACCTGCCTCTGTGTGCGTGTGTGTGTGTGTGTGTGTGTGTGTGTGTGTGTGTGTGTGTGTGTGTGTGCGCGCGCGCGCGTGTGCGTGCATTCACTCTCTGTCTTGCTTTCTCGTTTAATAATGTAAAAGTTGGGGGGGCTGGAGAGATGGCTCAGAGGTTAAGAGCACTGACTGCTCTTCCAGAGGTCCTGAGTTCAGTTCCCAGCAACCACATGGTGGCTCACAACCATCTACAGTTCAATCTGGTGCCCTCTTCTGGTGTGTAGACAGAACACTGTATATGTAATAAATAAATAAATCTTTTTAAAAAAATAATGTAAAAGTTGTTCCTGTGCAGGTTAGCTTTGCCAACTTGACACATTCTAGAATCACTTGGAAAGAGACTCAGTGAAGAAATTGTCTGGATTAGATTGGACTTTGGTTATGCATATGAAAAGAAAAAAATTTTTGAGGCAGTGTCTTGGGTGCAAAGTCACTTGTGGGAGCCATGAGTGTGAATGCCTCCTGAGTGCTGAGATTAAAGCCATGAGCCACCAAGCCTGGCCCATAGTTTAAAAACTTTATTCTAAGTGTTTCAGCACAGCAACAGGAAGGGAACTGGGACAGGCCTCTCCGCAGGTGACTGGGGAAGCTGGCCTGACTTTCAGAGCAGCTGTTATGATGCTGTGAGTCCCTGGCGGCTGCATCCCGACTTGCTTCTGTCTTTTCAGCTATCCAGAGTGCTCCCCCTTTCCATCACACGGAAGTTCCTTGTTCCTTTCTCCTGAGGGTCATTTTCCTTGTTGTGGTTGATTGTTGGTAGTTTTGAGATAGGCTGGCTAGGGCCTCCATTTTGATAAGTAGCTGAGGCTAGCCTTAAACTGTTCTTCTACATTTTAATTCTGGGATTAAAAGCATTGTGTGTGTGTGTGTGTGTGTGTGTGTGTTAATATGTGTACATGTGTAAATGTGCATGCACATGGAAGCCAGAGATCACAACCCATGCCTCTTGCTGAACCTCAAAGGCATAGATGTAGCTAGGCTGGCCAGTCAGTGAGCTCCCAGAATCCGCCTGTCTGTGTCCCTCCCTTGCCCCCAGTGCTGGGTTCCAGAAGCTGAATGCTAACCCCCTCCCAGCTTTTCATGTGGGTGCTGGAGATCTGAACTCAGGTCTTCATGTTAATGTGTGTGAGAAATTGTTTGTTTGTTTGTTTTTCCACCGAGGGCCAAGATTCTATGAATCTCTTCCACCTTGTAAAATTTTTGTGCAAATTCTTTAATCTTCCTCATCTAGGAGACTGTTTACTCAAAGCCCTCTTTCCCAGAACTTGAAGACCCAAGGTTGCTGCCAAATGACCCTTCTCCTTTATTTCCTTTGTGTTGGTTATAAATTAGTCACTGGACCAGACTGTGAGAGTCCCACCTGCCTTATGATAAAAATGAAGTGAACTTGCTGCCTAATGAGCCTGCTATCCTGGTTTGGATGCTGGTACACCTTTTTTACAAAAATTGCTTTGCAGCTGGGCAGTGGTGGTGCACGCCTTTAACCCCAGCACTCAGGAGGCAGAGGCAGGCTGATATCTGTGAGTTTGAGGCCAGCCTGATCTACAGAGTGAGTTCCAGGACAGCCTTTAAAGCCACAGAGAAATGCTGTCTCAAAACCCACCCCCCAAAAAATTGCTTTGCAGAGTTACTTTTGATTTGCTCAGGTACTTCTATGTGTGACATCTAAACTACTCTTTTCAACACACCACAGGCATTTTACTGTTAAGCCATCTCTTCTGTCTGTGTTTGACAAGGTCAAACTCTATCCCAGATGGAATTTGTGGTGAGTATTAGTTCTTATGCACACTTCTATAGTCCTAGCACTCAATTGACAGGAGCTCAGGTTTGAGCCTAGCCTGGGTTACATATATCTAGTTCCAGACCAGTAAAGTCTGCTAGTGAGACCTTGTCTCACACACACACACACACACCCCAATATTCATTAAGTAGAGTTGTGGAGGATGGAAAAATGGCTCAGTGGTTAAGAATACTTGCTGCTCTTGGAAAGGACCAGGGTTTGATTCCCATCATCCACATGGCTTCTCACCGTAACTCCAGTCTCAGGGGATCCCAATGTCCTCCAGCCTCTTCTGGCTTCTGCAAGCATCAGGCAAACACATGTAGTGTGCAGACTTCTGTCTTAGTCACTGTTGTGGAATAGATTATTTGTTTAACTAAGTAAAGATGCATTTGTTTGTTTTGCAGAACAATTGTTTAACTACGTAAAGATGTATTATTGATTTACCTTGCCTTCTAAGGTACCTGATTGATCTACTAAAAAGCTGAGTAGCCAATAGGTAGGCAGACAAGGGATAGGCAGGGCTGGAGAGCACAGGAAGAAGGGGAGCCAGCCAGCTGGGGGTGAGATTAGCCAGACAGAAGCAGGAGAGGCAGCAGAGCAGGATGGACAGTACGTAGATGAGGCAAATGAGCCTCAGGGCAGCACATAGAAGAACAGAAATGGGTTAATTTAAGCTAAAAGGAGCTAGCTAGAAACAAGCCTACAGTAAGGAGGAGCATTCACAATGAATAAGTCTCAGTCAAGATCTGTGGACTGGCTGTCCAAGGAAGCCTGCTACAAGTTGCTTTCCTATTGCTGTGAAAAAGGACCATGGCCAACAAAACTGATAAAACAAAATGTTCAATTTGGCCTATAGTTTCAGAGGGTTACAGTCCTTGATGGTAGATCGAGGAACAGCTGAGAGCTCTCATCTTGATCTGCAGTCATGATCCAGAGAGGGAAGTGCTGGGAATACCAAGAGTGTCTTAGAACCTCAAAGCAGTACACAAGTGACACACCTCCTCCACCAAGGCCACATCCGCTAATCCTTTCCAAAGACTTACAACAACTGAGGGCCAAGTATTCAAAATGTATGAGTCTATGGGGGTCATTTTCATTATAACTGCTATGATATACATGCAGGCAAAATATTCATACACGCAGAGTGGTGGTGGTACACGCCTTTAACCCCAGCACTCGGGAGGCAGAGGCAGGCAGATCTCTGTGAGTTCGAGGCCGGGCTGGACCGACAGCCTCGACCGACAGCCTCCAAAACAATACAGAGAAACCCTGTCTTGTAAAACCAAAAACAAACAAACAAAAACATTCATACACATAAAAATAAATACATAAAAATCAAAATTATCATTGTCCAACAAAAGAGCTGAATGTGTACACTTTCACACCATTGTAAAGCCCAAATATTATAAATGGAGTCACTGTGAATCACAGACCATATGGATTTACAAATGAACATACATGTATAATTTCCTTCCTTTGTTTGGCGAGGATAGACCCTCATGTGTCCCAGAACTGACCTTGAACTTGCTGTATAGCTGAGACTAGCCTTGAACTTTTGATCTTCCTGCCTCCACCTACCATAGTGCTAAGATTGTAGGTGCACTGTCCGCTTCCCACACATGAATTTTGGTGCCACAAGTGTCACTCTGCTCACTCTGTTCTGCCCTTGGTGCCTCTCAGCAGTGCGGAGGTTCTCACAGGCGTTCACACTTGGAGTCTGGAGTCTTCCTGACTTTTCTCCTGCAGAGGCTCCTCCTTTTTAAATGTTTTCTAACTCCAGCCCTAGAATCACACAGTTCCTTTTAAAAAGTGACAAAAAGGGTGCTGAAAGTTTGAGTTTTTAAAATGACGACAGTGAGATCATTTCAGAGGTTAAATCCTTTTCCCATTATTTACTAATTACAGAGCAGGAACACAGGAGGAGTGGATGTGTTCAGACAGGCAGACAATGTCAATGCCAGCGGTGAGCGGAGAAAACAAGTTAAGACTTCAGCTGGGGGGGGGGGGGGGGATTTAAAAAAAAAAAAACCTAAACCCCTCTGGCTGTTGTCAATCAAGTACTTTGTGGAACTTTTTCGTGTGTCTGCGCCCATCAGTCCCGGGGCCGGACCCACCCACACCCCCTTCCACAGGAAGGGCAGAAGTCACTGTCTCCGGAATCACGTGGCTGCCTACTTCAACTCAGACTACTGATGATTGGGTCAGGCATGGGTGTCACCCCCGGGGGCAGCCAATGCACCGACTGGCCAGTGATTTATAAGAGAACTGGACCCAAAAATATCTGACTAAACAGGAACCAGGTTGACTTGTCTGATTTCCAATTTGAGATGAATCAGCTGCTTCATTAAGGGACCCGAACCTGAGGCGATACAGGTGTGAGGGAACAGGAGAGGCTGGAGTCACCTGTGAAGGAGACCCCGACACCCTCCAGAGATGCCAGATAGAGCAAAAAGCCTCCAAAGAAGCCTAGTCCTGAAAGCCAAAGCAGCCAGCCATTTCCAGCACCATCCAGAGGAGACGACCCCAAGCAGTCTGCCCCCACGCAGACAAGTGGAAATTCTAGGTAAAAGACAATAAATATTCTTTCACAAGAAAGTAAGGGAAATCCCCAGAAGTCAAAAGAAAAACAAAAACCAAAAAATGGAACTGAGAAGCAAGCCTGTTTGTGTGATGAGAAAGAGAGGCTCCCAGGAAGGGAGGAGCCAGGGCTCTGGAAGGCAGGGGCTAGGGTGGTTATGCAAATCCCAGCCCAGGAAGAGAGGCTGTGCTCAATAGGAAATGATAACCCCTCCTGAGCAGGCTGAGAAAAGGTCCGGTGCCACTTAGCTTTCAGATGCTGGGATGTTTGGCAAGAGGCTGGGGTGCGGGTCCCTGATGGATATTTTCAGTATAGCTTACATAAGGTTCCGAGTTCCACTGCTAGTCCAGGGTGAGGGGAAGTCCTGAACTTCAATGATATGGAGGCTCTCAACCTTCCCAATGCTATGACCCTTTGTTACAGTTCCTTGTGTTGTGGTGACCTCCAACCATAAAACTATTTTCGTAACTAGAATTTTTGGTACTGCTATGAATCTTTTTTTTTTTAAGATTTATTATGTGTACAACATTCTGCCTCCATGAATTCCTGCATGCCCGAAAAGGGCACCAAATCTCGTTACAGATGGTTGTAAGCCAACTTACGGTTGCTGGGAATTGAACTCAAGACCTCTAGAAGAGCAGTTAGTGCTCTTAACCTTTGAGCCATCTCTCCAGCCCCTGCTATGAATCTTAATGTAAGCATCTGTATTTCCTGATGGTCTTATGCGACCCTTGTGAAAGGGTCATTTAAAACCAAGGGGGTCACTGCCCCCAGTTAAAAACCACTGTTATAGAGGGAAGAACAAGACAGATCTGTCTCACAGAGCTGCACCAGGATAGTGGCCTTTTAAAGGGGTCTGTAAGGAACATTCAGGAAGCTTAGTTCAAGGACAGGGACACCTGGTCTTAAAACCACAAAGGGATGGGGCGTTGGTGGCGCACACCTTTAATGCCAGCACTCAGGAGGCGGGCAGGCAGATCTCTGTGAGTTCGAGGCCAGCCTGGTATACAGAGCGAGTTCCAGGACAGCCTCCAAAACAATACAGAGAAACCCTGTCTCAAAAAAAACAAAAACAAAAAAACAAAGCAAAGCAAAACAAAAAAACCCACAAAGGGTGTGGTGACAATAGTTGTAATCCCAGATCTCGTCAGGGTGTCTAGGTGGGAAGACTGTCTAGAATTCAAGGCCGATTAACCTATAAGTGAGTGGGAGGCAGGGCATGGTAATGCATACCTTCATTCCCTGCACTTTGGAGGCAGAGGCAGGTGGATCTCTATGAGTGCCTGCCATGCCAGGCCAGCCAGGACTACGTAACTGTCTTAAAAAGGAAAACAATAAATAGTTCGAGGCTGTGACTCACTTAATAGAGACTAATTTGCATGAAGCCCTAAGTTCCATCAATTCCTACACATACAAGATGTAGTGGTTCACACCTAACACCCTAGCACTCAGGAGGTAGAGGCAGGAAAATTAGGAGTTCAAGGTCACCTTGAACCTAGCAGGTTTGAGGCTGACTGTGGGGGGAGGGGGAAATCCTGAGGAAATGTGCCTTTTCCTAAGCGAGTCACTGAGCTGCCATCTCTTGTTAGCAAATGCCCAGAACCAACAGAGGACACACAGCATTGTGAGATGCTGGGGAAAGTATAGGTTGTTTGGAAAACCACCCAGCAGATCCCAAAGAGTTCAACAAAAGACCAGAACCAAGATGCACATAACCCAGGGACCAGGACCTTCAGGTACACACATAGGTCTACCAGATGTCCCTGGCAGTGCTCTCCCATGGCTGGTATACATTATATGTTTTTCAATTATTAAAAAAAGAATGAGCCGGGCGTTGGTGGCACACACCTTTAATCCCAACACTCGGGAGGTAGAGGCAGGTGGATCTCTGTGAGTTCAAGGCCAGCCTGGTTTACAAGCACTAGTTTCAATACCACTAAGTCTACACAGAGAAACCCTGTCTTGAAAAACAAAAAACAAAAAAGAAGTAAAAAGAATGAAAAAGTCTGTGAGATGAATTGGTGGGTAGAGACACTTGCTGCCAAGCCTAAAGACCTAGGTAGTCACATCCTCAGAATCCACAAGGTAGAAGAACATCCACTCTGGAAAGTTGTCCTCGGACCTCTACATGCATAATATGATTCCTGCAGGAGCCGTATCACACAGGAGATGGTGGCTCATCTATCTACTTAGGAAAGGATGGGTCTCCTTAGGCCTTTTTTTTTTCCAGGTTCTTGTCACCCAGGTGTTTCTCAAACATATGCATATACACAAAAGAAAGAAGGCAGGAGAATTGCTGTGAGTTGAGGCCAATCTGGACTACAGGAGACCAAGCAGGCCTAGGGCTCAAATATATATATTTGTATCCTCCTAGGGGGCTATCAAATATTCCCTTGCACCTAGTCCCCATTCATTCAACAGAAAAATTTCCAGCTTTTAGCACTTAGAACCTGGGCTAGACCCAGGGCTCTCTGAGTAAAGTCGGGGTAAAACAAGGGTAGGGCACTCTTGTTCTTAGGGAGTTTGTGATGGTGCCTTCAAGAGGGGGAGGGCAGCCAAGGAGAAGTCAGCAGGCAACAAAAGTGAGATAATTACTGCCTTTAGAGGAGGCTGTGAGTAAGGGACTCCTGGCTTCCTAAAATAGACAAGATCCTCTTTGTGTACTTATTTGCCTCTGGTGGGTCAAGAGTTAAAAGAAAAGAAAGGTTTAAGGTAAAACATTTCCTTCCACTCCCCCATCCATCTGCACTTTCCCTTCCTGGAGGAAGAGGTCCCTTTTGTGGGAATCCTTTCCAACAGATTCTGATCTGTTGTCACCTGACTTCCCATCTCCAGGGTAGCCCCATGAACACCTTTAGAGTGGACATGGAGTTTAGGGTGGGGTGAGGGACAATGCAGAAGAGCCTGCAGTGTGAGGAGCAGAGCCCAGGAGGAGGAGGCAGGGGCCACAGAGGGCCCCTGTAATAGCTGTTTCCAATTTACCCTAAGCAAAGCCACTACATGTGTTTTTAGGGGACTGTCATGATTTGACTTGGAGTTTTCTTTTATTATTATTATTTTGTTGTTGTTGTTTCAAAACTGGGTTTCTCTGTGACTTTGGAGACTGTCCTGGAACTAGCTCTTGTAGACCAGGCTGGTCTGGAACTCACAGAGATCCTCCTGCCTCTGCCTCCCAAGTGCTGGGGTTAAAGGTGTGTGCCTGGTGACTTGGGGTTTTCAAAGATCAAATTCAAAACACTGCAGTGGGATCAGGAGGGGAGACACGAGGTGGGAAGGAGCAGATGAAAGTGGCCAAGGACGGTGTAAAACAAGAAAGGGTGGCACCAGAAAGCTCTGGCTTACAGCTATAATCCCAGCATTTGGGAGACTGGACCGAAGGATTCCAGGAGTTTGAAGAAAGGATTCCAGGAGTTTGAAGAAAGGTACACAGTTTGAGGTTAGCCTGATAGCCTGGACCACAGTTGAAACCATCAGTCTTCTCTCTCTCTCTCTCTCTCTCTCTCTCTCTCTCTCTCTCTCTCTCTCTCTCTCTCTCTCTCTCTCTCTCTCTCTCTCTCTCACACACACACACACACACACACACACACTGGAGAGAGAGAGGGGAAAAAGAGAAGGATTGTTCAAGAAACAGAAACACCTGTGACAATCGGAGTTCCTGAGTGAGAAAAGTAGAGATTTGAGCCCTTGAAATCTGAAAAGTAGTAAGTTTTTGTGTGTCATAGCATTAGTAACTTTCTTTAAATACTTCAGGGGACTGAAAAGAAGGCTCAGAGGTTAAGAGCACTGCCTACTCTTGCAGAAGACCTGGGTTCAGTTCCCAGCACCCTGGTGGCTCATAACCATTTGTAACTGCACTTCCTGGGTAATCTGACACCCTCTTTTGGCCTCCATGGGCACTGCACATACAGGTACACATACGTACATACATACATACATACATACATACATACATACATACATACAAACAAACAAGCAAAATACCCATGCACATAAAAAAAGGGGCCAGGTGTGATAGTACAAGCCTTTGATCCCTGTACATGGGAGGCAGAGGCAGATGGATCTCTGATTTTGAAGTCAGTCTGGTCTATATAGTGAGTTTCAGGATAGCCACAGCTACACAGAGAAACCCTTTCTTGGAAAACAAAAACTAACACACCAAAACCCAATACTTTAGTAACAATAGGGTGACCCACTCCTAAATTTCTAACCACTCTAAGACAGAAGCAGGAGGATGGCTCCAAGTTCAAAAGTCAACCTGTTCTGCATAGTGAGTTTCAGGTCAATCAAAGGTAGAAAGGAGACACTGACTCAATTAACAGGGACTAGAGGATGGCTCAGTCACTACAGAGATTGCCACACAAGCATGAGGACTTGAGTTCCAATCCCAACGGTCTGTAAAAACTCAAGAGTTGTAGCGCACACTGTAACCA